CGACTCCTCGCAGCGACGTAAGCCCGGGGTTGAGGCGACGCAAACCGGGTCGTGGTATTCAATTTAAACAAAAAAATAATGACGACGTATTTGCGAAGCAACGTTAAAAGGGGGTGCGGGAGGGGGGGGGGGAGACGTAATTCGGGGAATTGCTCTCATCTCATAGCAGTGGCACGAATCGCAGACGGCCACCAGGGGCGGTGGGTGGGAAGGCGGTGCACGAGCGAGCGGGGGGTTGCAATGAGAGGACCCCGCGTGGTTCCCTGCACGCGCGCGCGCCGCCACGTTGTCCGGGCGTAATTGCAGTCGTGGTGGGGGGGTTGGGGGGGGGTAAAGAGTGGAGAAGGAGGGGGGGTGGGTGAGAAGTGAAGGAGTGGGGGGGGGGGGGGGGTGATAAGTAGAGGAGCGGTAGTGTAGCTGGTTACCGCGCTGGGCTTTGAACCCTGCGACCCGAGTTCGATTCCCGCTCACGGCAACCAACAACCGGTGACGATTGTCTGAACCGGTGCTGGGCCTCCGCTAGGTTCGACTCGGCTGCGGTGTGTGGTGAACATCGCCACTGGGGAGACAAAGGCGGCCGGACGCGCTGCTGTTGAGGCTACACGTGGGATCTTTGTCTTTGGTGAGGAGTAGGGGAGACGGCGGTGGGAGTGGGATGGGGAGTGGGATGGGGAGTGGGATGGGGAGTGGGATGGGCAGTGGGATGGGGAGTGGGATGGGGAGTGGGATGGGGAGTGGGATGCGGAGTGGGATGGGGAGTGGGATGGGGAGTGGGATGGGGAGTGGGATGGGGAGTGGGATGGGGGGCGGGGGGGGGGTATAGCGACCCGGGCAGGCGGCCGGCAGTGTCTCTTGGATCCCTCGGATCGGGGGTTACGAGCTGCGAGCCACGTGAGGGAGGCCGGCTGCTGCGGGCGAGTCGACGCCGACGTCTGATTGGACGTGAGAAGAAGAATCGCCGAGTGGAGGGGCCGTGACGGAGGATGAGGAGGAGTAGGGAGGGAGGGGGGCAGATCCCGGTCTGACTGCTCACGGGAAGCTGCCGAGCCTGCCCCGTCCCGCAACCCCCTCGTGCGCCGTGCCAGGGGTTGCGGGAAGGGCAGGAGAGCCATCTACGGCCGTCTGGAACGCTCTCTTCCGTACGACATTCGGAAGCCACTGGGACCTACGCACTTTGAAATCTAGATTGAAAATCTTGATTTGAAGCTTTCGTGACTGCAGGGATCCATACTCTTTGGTTCTTTGGGTAGAAAATTAAATAAATCCCGACGTTTCTCGATTGAAAACTCGTTACTTTAGAACTGCTTTTTGCGTTGACTTTGTTGTCCTTCCCCCGCACCTCCGATGAGCGCGGTTGGCTGTGTACGGTGCGAAAGAAGTTCAACATGCATACATCCTAAAAACCATGTCCTCCGAGGCCAATTGTTGTGATCAGCACCCCGTATGCCCCTTCTCTCACTCCCACACTCAGCCGATATACAATTAGACTGGGCGACGTTTCGGGCAATAATCCTTCTTTATAGCACAAAGCGTGTCGTGCAATGATGAAAAAGGCACATTGTCCGAATCGTCGCCTATTATACATGTTTGACTTTTTTTTAAGGCCACAGTGTTATTGACGAATACGTTGTGTTTGTGTTTTTTTTTTGTGAATTCGAGCCTGTGCACCACTGCCAATGCAGCAGCAGAACCAGCATCGTCAAACGAATGTAGTGCACGCACAATCCGACAGGCCTCAATCTGCACGTTGACAGCCCGGTCAACGCGCCACGTTCAAGGTGGAAGGCTCTTCTCTTGTAGCGATACGCCTCCGATTGTGTGGCTTCGAAGCCGCTCCTCTTCGTCGCTAATCAACAAAAAGAGAAAAGACCTTGAAATTCGTCACAGGGATCTCGCCAATGCACGCTTCAGCTCCGCCACAGGGACTAATCGCATTGTTATATCGCCGTGCAGAGCGTTAGCGTCTCTATTAGAGGCGTGCGGCGGAGCTGTTAGAGGTCACGCCTTCCCTGAAGTGGCATTTGTCATTGAAATCAGCACGAGCGTCATGGGTTGCTCTTCTCCGTTGGCAATTCCATATTCCCATGACGGGAACAATAACTCACCCGTCGCGCAACTACTCTTGGTTTTTCACAAAGTGGCGCTGGTTTTGACAACGCACAGAGCAGAACACACTCGCACACACACACATCGCACGCTTACACACAGATAGATACACACACAGACAGATACACACACAGATAGACACACACACAGATAGATACACACACACAGATACACACACCGATAGATACACACGCAGATAGATGCACACAGAGTTAGATACACACACACACAGATAGAGTTAGATACACACACACACAGATAGATACACACACAGACAGATACACACACAGATACACACACACAGATAGATACACACAGACAGATAGATACACACACAGATAGATACACACACAGACAGATACACACACACACACACAAACAGATACACACACAGACAGATACACACACAGACAGATACACACACACATATAGATACACACACAGATAGATACACACACAGATAGATACACACACAGACAGATACACACACAGACAGATACACACACAGACAGATACACACACACAAACAGACACACACACACAGATACACACACAGACAGACAGATACACACACAGACAGATATACACACACACACACAGATAGACACACAGACAGATACACACACAGACAGATACACACACACAGATAGACACACACACAGACAGATACACACACAGATACACACACACAGATACACACAGACAGATACACACACACAGACAGATACACACACAGACAGATACACACAAACAGATACACACAGAGACAGATACACACACACAGACAGATACACACACAGACAGATACACACACACACAAACAGATACACACACACACACAGATACACACACACAGATACACACACAGACAGATACACACACAGACAGATACACACACAGATACACACACAGATAGACAGATACACACACACAGATACACACAGACAGATACACACACAGACAGATACACACACAAACAGATACACACACACACACAAATACACACACACACAGATAGACACACACACACAGACAGATACACACACAAACAGATACACACACACACAAATACACACACACAGATAGACACACACACAGACACACACACAATAAACCCAAACACGCTCACGCACACGCGCGCTTGCACACAGAGGCGCACATGGACACACACGCGCGCACAGACGCAAATGCACTTGCACACGGAGACACATGTCAGACCAGTGTCCGCTCATAAATAGGCTGTAACGAGCGCTTAATCAAAAATCTGTTTTAATTAACTTTAGCCGTGGGGCAGTTCGCTGTGTCCCACCCCCACCCCACCCCTCCTCCCCCACCCCTCCCCTCCTCCCTCACCCCAGCCTCTGTCTCCCACCCGACCTCACGTTCACCCCCACCCCTGCCCCCACTTTTTTGTACGCGTTAACACACGTACGCTCGACAAGACAAAGATCACCCGTATAGCCTCAGCATCGTCTTTCGGGGGCAAGTGCTGTCGGCGAGAACCTGTGAAGGCTAGCACGGCACCCGAGGAGGTGGGGGATCAGCGCCACGCCCGGCCGCCTTTGTCTCCCTAGTGGGGTTGTCTACCCCACCGCACCAGGTTCAGATATTCGTCACTGGTCTTGGCCAGTGAGCGGGAATCGAACTCGGATGGCCTGGTTCGTGGCACAGTGCGTCCATCGCGACTCGATCGCTCCTTCCATACAACAAAGACAAAGATCCCCCATGTAGCCTTAACAGACTGTAGGGGCAAGTGCAGTTAGCGAGCACCTATGAAGGCCGGCACGGCACACGAGGGGGTGGGTGGGGCCAACACCGCTCCCGGCCGCCTTTGTCTCCCACAGTGGCGATGTATTTACACATCGCACCAGGTACTCATTTGAGGCTGAGTCGACCTACGGGAGGCCCAGGAGCGGTTCAGATAATCGTCACTGGTGTTGGCCGTGATCAGGAATCGAAATCGGGCCTCGCAGCGCGCTAACCCCCCCATACACACGCACACTCACACAAACACCCGGTCACACACGCACACTCACACAAACACCCGGTCACACAAAAGACAAAGATCCCCCATATAGCCTTAACAGACTGTTGGGGCAAGTGCTGTTAGCGAGCACCTATGAAGGCCCGAACGGTACACGAGGGGGTGGGTGGCCAGCACCACGCCCGACCGCCTTTGTCTCCCCATTGGCGATGTTTACACACCACACCAGGTACTCATTTGAGGCTGAGTCAACCTAGGGGAGGCCCGGGACCGGTTCAGATAATCGTCACTGGTGTTGGCCGTGAGCGGGAATCGAACCCGGCTCGCCAGGTTCATAGCGCAGCGTAGCGCTAACCGCTACACTATCGCTCCCCTTTCCCGGTCACACACGCACACACTCACACAAACACCCGTTCGCACACGCACGCACATAACGCTCTCGAGTCCACGGCCACCCCGCACACAATGCAATGTCATTGTGTTTAACCTTGTGAGAGCCGGTTAAGATGCATTGCATTGCGTGTAACGGACACCTCGCGGCGAGAGACTCTCTCTATCTCTCTCACGCTACGGCTCCACAGCGAACCATGCGAGTCGGTGGAATCGGGGGAGCCCGAGTCAAACATGTGACCGCCGTGCAAAGCATGGCCGTGTCCGAGCAATACGTGAGCGTCACGGTTCGCGAGATGTTTAAAACTTTCTTGCCCGCTCTTACGGGAGAGCGTGGGGCTCGATCACGACCCTGACGCCCGCTGTATATTTGGAGTCCGCGTGTTTATCTTTCCCCCGTCGTCGCCCTGTGGATCTTCTCTCCGGCTCATCCGTTTTGTTTTTGCCCCTCCACGTAGATAACTCAGTGACAGGGCCTTAGCTGTTAAAATCAAAACAATCGTTTAATCGGTTTTTTTTCACTGAGCGGATTGTGTGGCCACTTGGGAGGAGGGAGACGATCTTCCAGCCCGCCCACCAATAACTGCACACACACATAAATCAATGACATCACATTAAGTTTGAGTTTTCACTTGATTTTGATAAAATAAAGCTATTCTATGAGGATTGCAAGCAAACAAAAATTATCTGATTGCCACGCTACAAATAGTCTTAATGGCCAATGTGCCTGTGTGCGCGATTGTATATACTTGAGGAATCCGATGAGCTACAAAGCTCTTCTTAATCCACAATTATGAACGAAGGAAAATGCCGAATAATCGAAAAAAAATTTATGCTTCTGATCGAAAAAAATGAGGTAGGGTCCAGGACCGGTTTGTACGTCACACCGCGCCACTGATGTTAGCCGTGGGCGGTTACCGGCTATTAAAGTTCGACAAAATGGCTCTTCTTGTTATTTTGGTTGCCAACCCCTGATCATAGAAGTTCCAGTTCACCACGGAAGTCCAGTTTACCATGGGAATCCAGTTTACCATAGAAGTTCCAGTTCACCACGGAAGTCCAGTTTACCATGGGAATCCAGTGTTCCATGGAAGTCCAGTTCACCACGGAAGTCTAGTTTACCATGGGAGTCCAATCTTAATTTGAAGCTTTCGTGAATGCAGGAATCCATACTCTTTGGTTCTTTCGGTAAAGTCACTTAGGTATAAAATAAAATAATAATATGAAATAATTTCATTTTATACCGACGTGACTTTACCGAAAGAACCAAAGAGTATGGTAGTCCAGTTTACCATGGGAGTCCAGTTTACCATGGGAGTCCAGTTTACCATGGGAGTCCAGTTTACCATGGGAGTCCAGTTTACCATGGGAGTCCATTTTACCATGGGAGTCCAGTTTACCATGGGAGTCCAGTTCACCATGGGAGTCCAGTTTACCATGGGAGTCCAGTTTACCATGGGAGTCCAGTTTACCATGGGAGTCCAGTTTATCATGGACAGGGGTCGGCAACCTGCAGCTCCAGAGTCGCATGCGGCTAAGGACTGCTTCGTGGCAACGTATTTACCACCACAGTGCTTTGCGGATATTGAAATATTTCGTTGTTTGATGTATTTTTTTTACCGAATTCGAAAGCAAGTGTCTCTTCTTGTTATTTTAGTTGCCGAGCCCTGGTCTAGTGGTAGGAAGGGATCACAGCGGTTAAACAACAACAACAACAACAACCGATAAACACATTCAATTTAAAGTGTCGATTTCACGTATCGTGAGCGTTTGTAACCGATTAAAGTCGATTCATCGTTGCATCCCCCCTGCCTGCAGTGAATCGTCGGAGCTGTGCGAGAGACGGGATGATCCGTGGGAGGCGTGAGATCGCGTGGGAGTCTCGCTGTGTGAGCAGCGGCGATTCTAGGGGGGGGGGGGGAGAGGCATTGACGATATTGGGGGGCCACCCATATTGTCCCCCCCCACCCTCCCCGTCCCCCCGAGTGGCACGAGAGAGACTGTCAGAGAAAACCACGGAGGGTCGAGTGCCCATCTGTGAAACAGCTGCGCGGGACCTGGCAGAAGGAAGGAAGCGATAGAAAGTTGTGTCTCCCCCCCCCCCACTCTGCACCCCCACCCCTCTCCGACACGAGGTGGCGGCGATGGAGGGGGGGGTCACTGGCCACTTAACCCACTGCCTCCCTCTCGTTATGATCGCCACTAGCGGTGGGTGCGTGGGTAGGTAGAAGTGGTGGGTGGTGGGTGGGGTAGGTAGGTGGGTGGGTTTGTGTGTCGGTGGATGGGTAGTTGGGTGGGTGGGTTGTGTGCCGGTGGGTGAGTAGACGGGTGGGTAGTTGGGTGAAGTGGGTGGTTAGGTGGGTGGGTGGATGTATGGGTGGGTGAGTAGCTGGGTTTGTGTGTGGGTGGGTGGGTGTGTAGGTGGATGGGTAGTTGGGTGGGTGGATTTGTGTGTGGGGAGCGGTGGTGTAGCGGTTAGCGCGCTGCGCTATGAACCTGGCGACCCGGGTCCGATTCCCGCTCACGGCCAACACCAGTGACGATTATCTGAACCGGTTCCGGGCCTCCCCTAGGTCGACTCAGCCTCAAATGAGTACTTGGTGCGGTGTGTAAACGTTGCCACTAGGGAGACAAAGGCGGTCGGGCGTAGTGCTGGCCACCCACCCCCTCGTGTACCGTTCCGGCCTTCATAGGTGCTCGCTAACAGCACTTGCCCCTACAGTCTGTTAAGGCTACACGGGGGATCTTTGTTGTGTAGTTGGGTGGGTGGGTTTGTGTGTAGGTGGGTGGGGTTGTGTGTGGGTGGGGTTGTGTGTAGGTGGGGTTGTGTGTAGGTGGGGTTTTGTGTAGGTGGGGTTGTGTGTAGGTGGGTGTGTGGGTGTGTAGGTGGGTGGGTGTGTAAGTGGGTGGGTGGGTGTGTAAGTGGGTGGGTGGGTGTGTAGGTGGGTGGGTGTGTAGGTGGGGGGTGTGTAGGTGGGTGGGTGAGTTTGTGTGTGGGTGGGTGGGTGGGTAGTTGGGTGGGTGAGTTTGTGTGTGGGTGGGTGGGTGTGTAGGTGGCGGGGTGTGTAGGTGGGTGGGTGAGTTTGTGTGTGTGTGGGTGGGTAGTTGGGTGGGTGAGTTTGTGTGTGGGTGGGTGGGTGGGTGTGTAGGTGGGTGTGTGGGTGTGGGTGTGTGGGTGTGTGGGTGTGTGGGTGTGGGTGTGTGGGTGTGTGGGTGTGGGTGTGTAGGTGTGTAGGTGTGTAGGTGTGTAGGTGTGTGTGTAGGTGTGTAGGTCTGTAGGTGTGTGTATAGGTGTGTGTAGGTGTGTGTGTAGGTGTGTGTAGGTGTGTGTGTGTAGGTGTGTGTGTGTGTAGGTGTGTGTGTGTGTTTGTGTGTGGGTGTGTGTGTAGGTATGTGTAGGTGTGTAGGTGTGTGTAGGTGTGTAGGTGTGTATGTGTGTATGTGTGTATGTAGGTGTGTGTGTGTGGGTGTGTGTGTAGGTGTGTAGGTGTGTGTGTGTAGGTGTGTGTGTAGGTGTGTAGGTGTGTGTAGGTGTGTAGGTGTGTGTAGGTGTGTGTAGGTGTGTAGGTGTGTGGGTGTGTAGGTGTGTAGGTGTGTGTGTAGGTGTGTAGGTGTGTGTGTGTGTAGGTGTGTAGGTGTATGTAGGTGTGTGTAGGTGTGTAAGTGTGTAGGTGTGTGTAGGTGTGTGTAGATGTGTAGGTGGGTAGGTGTGTGTGTAGGTGTGTAGGTGTGTGTGTAGGTGTGTAGGTGTGTGTGTGTGGGTGTGTAGGTGTGTAGGTGTGTAGGTGTGTGGGTGTGTAGGTATGTGGGTGTGTGTATGTAGGTGTGTGTAGGTGTGTGTAGGTGTGTGTAGGTGTGTAGGTGTGTGTAGGTGTGTAGGTGTGTGTAGGTGTGTAGGTGTGTGTGTAGGTGTGTAGGTGTGTGTGTGTGTAGGTGTGTGTAGGTGTGTAGGTGTGTGTAGGTGTGTAGGTGTATGTGTGTAGGTGTGTGTGTGTGTAGGTGTGTCGGTGTGTGTGTAGGTGTGTAGGTGTGTGTGTAGGTGTGTGTAGGTGTGTAGGTGTGTGTAGGTGTGTGTAGGTGTGTGTAGGTGTTTGTGTGTAGGTGTGTGTAGGTGTGTGTAGGTGTGTGTGTGTAGGTGTGTGTAGGTGTGTAGGTGTGTATGTAGATGTGTGTAGGTGTGTAGGTGTGTGTAGGTGTGTAGGTGTGTGTAGGTGTGTAGGTGTGTAGGTGTGTGTAGGTGTGTGTAGGTGTGTGTAGGTGTGTGTGTAGGTGTGTAGGTGTGTGTAGGTGTGTGTAGGTCTGTGTAGGTGTAGGTGTGTGTAGGTGTGTAGGTGTGTGTAGGTGTGTGTAGGTGTGTGTAGTTGTGTAGGTGTGTGTAGGTCTGTAGGTGTGTGTAGGTGTGTGTAGGTGTGTGTAGGTGTTTGTGTGTAGGTGTGTGTAGGTGTGTGTAGGTGTGTGTGTGTAGGTGTGTGTAGGTGTGTAGGTGTGTGTAGGTGTTTGTGTGTTTGTGTTTTGCAGGGAGGCCGCTCCCCGAGTTCGGCTCTGCAACCGCGTGCGAGAGTGCCGAGCGTTGACTTGATGATTTTGTGTCGTCACACAGATGATCGTGAACACGTGCAGCCGTTCGCCCGGCTAGCTTGCAAGGGAGACCCGTGGTGCGTGAGCGCAGCAGCAACTAGCAGCAGCACAAACCCGACAAACAGCGGAGAACGAGTGCAGGAGGGTTCCTTAAGAAATCCCGCCCTACCAACGCGGTGGGATTCACGAGCGAAACCGCCTTACGAAGAGCCACACAACTCCGGCTCTCTAGCCGCCCCACTCCCCCTGAGCCTCTCTCCTCCCCCTCCCACACCGCTCCACGCGAATGCCGCCGCTAAGGAGGCGGCGAAGGAGGCGGCGCTGAGTGACGCGAGTGGAGATCGCGCTGATTAAAGGGGAGCCCCGCGGCGAGGGGGGCCAGCGCTCCGCCGCCGCCGCCGCCGCCTCTAAATTCACCCCCCACCCACCGACCCTTCCTTTCATTTCCGTCCCTAATGACGGCGTAACAGGGTGGTAGTGGTGGTGGTGCCCGCGTCTCTCTCTCTCTCTCCGTCTCTGTGAGTCCACGTGTGTGTGTGTGTGTTGTGGGGAGCGATAGTGTAGCGGTTAGCGCGCTGCGCTATGAACCTGGCGACCCGAGTTCGATTCCCGCTCACGGCCAACACCGGTGACGATTATCTGAACCGGTCCTGGGCCTCCCCTAGGTCGACTCAGCCTCAAATGAGTACCTGGTGCGGTGTGTAAACATCGCCACTAGGGAGACAAAGGCGGTCGGGCGTGGTGCTGGCCACCCACCCCCTCGTGTACCGTTCCGGCCTTCATAGGTGCTCGCTAACAGCACTTGCCCCTACAGCCTGTTAAGGCTATATGGGGGATCTTTGTTTATCTTTGTGTATGTGGTTAGCGCGCTGCACTGCGCTACGAACCCGGCAAGAGAACCCGAGTTCGATTCGCGCTTACGACCAAAAAGCGGTGTTTGGCTTCTCCCCTCGGTCGGCTCGGCTTTTAAATTGTGAGATGTGACATCGCCACTAGGGAGACAAAGGCGGCCGGACGCGGTGCTGGCCACCGACCGCCTCGCGTGGCGTGCCAGCTTTCGTAGGTGCCGCTCGCTCACAGCACTTGACCCAGTGGTATGTTGAGGCTATAGGAGGGCATCTGTGTCTTTGTGTGGCCACGTGTGCAGCCAATTTCCACTTTTTATGATAACGAACTCAGCACACCCGTCAATGACTCCGTAGCCTTCAAGGGGAAGATATATATAATGCCGACGTTTCGGGCAATGGCCCTTCGCCGTAGCTCTCTGATGGAGACACGCGCGCGCGGGTTTGTCTTCCCAGATGTTTAGATTAAATTTATTTTGTACAGTTTTTGCGCCCTTGCGGGTTCTTATGGATTCGCATCACTACTGAAAAAAACATCGACGCGTCAATAGCATCGATTTGTGAATATAAATCGTCGGTGATTAATCCAGATCTCGCTCAACAACGCGATATTCACCGTCTCGTCCAACACGAGCAGATAGATACAACGACGCCTCCTTGCCCATTTTGGAGAACGAAATTTGTAATTTCACACCGTGTCTGAATGTCCAGCTTATAACATAAATTGGCGGCCATGTGAATGGACTGCTGCCCTGTCATGCGAACGTGGAGTTTCCACCACCGACCCTTGGGCCCGATTGGACATGAGCACAGCTCCCATTTGCTCGTTTCACGCAGTCGCTTTGGCTTCTCAATGTGCGTATGGGGCGTCAGGGTGGCTAGGAGATGTTAACTACCTCGCCTGGTACACAGGGGGTCTGTGGGTTCGATCCCGACCATGACGTCTGTATATTTGAAGTTTCGCGTATCTCTCTCATCATCATCATCATCACGGTGGCTAGGAGATGTTAACTACCTCGCCTGGTATACAGGAGGTTGTGGGTTCGATCCCGACCCTGACGCCTGCTGCTGTATATTTGGAGTTTGCGTGTCTCTCTCTCTCTCATCATCACGGTGGCTAGGAGATGTTAACTACCTCGCCTGGTACAAACATCGCGAGTTCAGAGAATTTGTCTGCTGCTGTACGTTTTCACGTGATGAGCCACTTCGTTGAGCTATCATTTGTGATAACCAAGTCGCTTCTGAAAGAAGAGCTATGTAGCTCAGTGGGCATTACCTGGTCAAATAAAAAACAACTATTGTTTTATAGTTTATGGTACGTATGTTGAACATCTTTCGCACCGTGCCTAACCAACAGTGCTAATCGGAGGTGCGACGGGAATGACAACAAACTAAACACAAAAAGCAGTTATCAAGCAATGATATTCTTGGTTCTTTCGGTAAAGTCACGTAGAAGGGAAACAATGAAATATTAAAAATATAAAACAATGAAATTCTCACGACGTTTCGACTGCAACACAAGCAATCGTCATCCGGTGTGAAAACCACAGCAAGAAAATTTGAAATTTTCTTTAAAAATTTTCTTGCAGTCACGAAAGCTTTAAATGAAAAAATATCAAGCGATGAATTTTCGATGTAGATTCAACATGTGTACGTTGAAGTTCTCGACTCAGCCGCCCTCGGCAGGATCGACCACATTGAAGTCGAGGTGCCAGAGGCTACTGCAAGAGGCCAGTGTGGCGAGACTCATCGCTGTGCTGTACTTCTATGCTCCAACGTCACTCTGCGAGCACACCAACTTCATCACTGACCCGCGCGGTGAAGTATGGTTAAGAAAATTAACCCCTCCTCACTGCCCCCCCCCCCCCCACACGCTCCCCTCCTCGACCCACACAGCTTAGGGAGACAATCATCCGGCAGTGGATACAACGAAAGCCTGCCCATCTCGCTGCTGATTCAGCAATGTTGACAAACATAAGCTGTTGGGGCGTCAAAGTGACGGGCTCGACTCCCCGGCAAGGTGCATCTCATCACCGCACAGAGCCAGGACCTGCATGGACGCGACACGGCGAGTTTCATACAAACTTGGGGTCATCAGTGAGACGTGACCAGCTACGAATTGCCATGGAAAAGCTTTGATCACGAGTGACATATTACTCTATACGAGGACCCCTGTAGGGCACACAGAGAGGGCTCTTGCCGGTAAGATCGGCCAGTCCCCCAGGATTAATTCACGCCGATGAGACACCGCGTGTCTGAAACCGGTCCAGAGTTTGCCTATCTTCAATGTGAGAATATTATTGTGTTATTTTATTTTATCAATTTATTATTTTATTCTCATTCTACGTGACTTTACCGAAAGAACCAAAGAAGATATCTTCGAACAATTATGCTGAAATGACGCACTCCCAGAATGCCGCGCGACTGATGAGTTGCGTAAGGCATTGTCACGTATGTGGAGAGACGGAAATGCGAATGAGACATTATCCGTGTATCGTGCTATCCATATTCGCCACAGCGACGCGAGTGATTACGTAGCGTCATGGGGGGGGGGGGGGGGGGGGTAGGGGACGGGGAATCTAAAGAGGGGTATTGGATTCCAGATGCTGCCGTCTGAGTCTTCTGCCCAGTCCCGTGTGGTTCCTGTGCCTCCATTCGTCTCGATGCGTGATCGTAAAAGTTATATCCGGCCTCAAGCGATCATTGAAGATGCATGCCATAGCCTGTGGTGTACAGCCCCGCGTCGGCTGTTGAAACTCCACGTTCCTATGGCAGCGGCTGACTCCTGCCCCCCCCCCCCCCCCCACAAAGCACTGTCCATTGTATCGACCCCGGGGAGAGATGGTAGGCTGAGCTCAACCTCAGTGGCATGATTGCGAGCCGCGTCGAGAAATTGGTGATTAAGAACAAGACAGCGGTGTTTGAGGCTCGAAATTAGATCAATGAGCGATAATCCCCGCTCCATTGGGGGGGGGGGAGGGTGATGCATTGATATTCATCGCATGTCGATAGTGGTGAGGGTCGTCACTGGGTTTCCTCTCTGCCCCCACCCCACCACCACGCCACCACTCCCCCCCCCGCCACGCACCCCTCTTCCAATGAGCTTACACAGAAGTGAATAGCAGGCGTGCTCGTGAATAATGCCAATTGACAAAAACGAAAGTCAACACATTTGTCAATAAAACTGCGGCCCTAAAGGGAAAAAATGTGCGTGTGTGTGTCTAATATAATCCTCCTTCGCAGTAGACGACTCAAATCAGAGAAATAGATCGTATTTGCCTGCTGCGTTAAGAAGGCACACTGTCCGAAACGTCGGCTCACGTCCACCGTGAGAGCCCCCTTTTTACCAGGTAAGCAGGCCCCACTCAGCTATGCAGCTGATCCTCTTCAGAAGCGACCAGGTTCATCGCGTGGACATTTACGGCGGCTAACAACTCTGAACCGCGTGATGCTGATTCTAAATGTGGAGGGGAAATCCGGAGAACCCAGATAAATATGAACGCGGAGAGAGAGAGAGACGCAAACTCATCAGGGCGGGATCGAATCCACGACCCCCCGTATACCAGGCGAGGTAGTTAACATCTCGCCACTATAACGCCCCTTCCTGCTTGCAACCCCGAGCCTGTGGTGGACATTCCACATTTGTACGGCGGGGGTGAGTCTACCCGTAGGACAACCACCGTTGTTAACTTTCCGACAAAGTGGTACTCGTTTTATAGACCCCCCCCCCCACCCGTCAGGAGGGATGATGGGCCGAGTCAACCCCCGCCCAGGAATTTAACTCACAACGTGCAGATTGCGCGCCGCTTGCTCTGTACCGCTGAGCGAACACCACAGACGACAATAAACCCGGCTGGACAACGTGGACCTGGAGGAGAGAGAGGGAGAGAGAGAGAGAGTGGGAGAGTGGGAGAGTGGTAGCGAGAGAGAGAGAGGGAAAGTAGTTCAAGCGACGCTGATCTCCCCTGTGAAGCAAGACCATTGCCCAGAAACGTCGCCTGTAAAAACAAAACAACTCTCCTATTGACGAATTCTGTACAATCCTTTGGTTCTTGTTTGTTAAGCTTCGGAACTGCGCTGCATTCAACGTTTAAAACGACGGCTTCCGCGGATCTCTTTCCAATTCCCCCCCTCCCGGTCTCCCACCAAGCCCTCTCCTCTCCCCACCACTGCATTCAACGTCGAAGACGACCACCTCCGCGGATTTCTGTTGTTGTTTTCTATACCCCCCCCCCCCCGCCAAGAATAACACACGCACGCGCACGCACGCGCATCATCATCATCACCACCACCACACCTGTTCCCTCGCCTCCTCCCGTGGGCGGGTCTGGACTTGATCGTGTGTGGCGCTGCGCCGCGCCTCCTAGGCATTACATTTTCACTTGCAGCTTCTCCGCTCGCCGCCGCCGCAGCCGCCGCCGACTCGAACGTGATCACGATCTCGCGACAGATTGCTCGCACACACACACACAGAGAGAGAGAGAGGGGAGTGAGGGGTGGGGGGCGAGAGAGAGAGAGAGTCGGAGAGCGAGAGGGAGGTCTGCGAGAAGGGATGGGTGCAGATGCAGCAAATATTACAAAGAAAAACAGGGGGAACATAGACATAGAGTAGGGAGAGAGGTGGGTAGGGAGAGAGGGGGTAGAGAGAGAGAGGTGACCCACGCCGTGCCGGCCTTCAAGGAGCCGTGGGCGCTGGAGGAGGCCGTGTGCTCGGTAGCAGATGACGGTAGAGAGCTCTGTGCGTGCAGATTGTGAGCTACCCGTCGGAGGCCGCTTGACTGTGGGAAGGGCTGCGTGCAGATGCAGCACTTGTCGTAGTTAGAAAAAAAGCGAGAGAGTGAGCGAGAGAGAGAGCGAAGTGGAGTGGGAAGAGAGGGGGTAGAGAGAGAGGGGGCGGGCAGAGAGGGGGGGGCATAGAGGGGGTAGAGAGAGAGGAGGGGCAGAGAGGGGGGGCATAGAGGGGGTAGAGAGAGAGAGGGGGAGAGCAGAGCGAGACATATTTTGTTGGTTCTTTCATTTAAAAGCAAAGCATTAAAAAAACGAAATGATGAACGAAGCAAAGTGCCAACTACACCGAGCATCTTCTTGTTTCCTCTGATCGTAAAAAAACAGAGAGGGGAGAGCGAGAGAGAGAGAGGAGAGAGGGGGGAGAGCGAGGGAGCAGTGGCTGCCGGCGCTGGTGGGTAGAGACGGAGCTATAGGAGGTGACTGCCCATCAGCAGGATAATCAAGGTCAAGAGGTTATTGCAAACGATTCTGTTGGTGTGAACACACACACACACACGTCGCCATCACTTCCTTCATTCTACCGAATCCTCTACCACAGCTATGTACAAGCCGACACCTGCCCTCCCAATGTGTGCGCTCACGAACACCAACAGCAGCAATAGGAATCAACTCCGCTTATAGCGCACACTCAGAGGCACGGAGTTATAGATCGCAGTGCCTGAACAGGTGAGGGCATGAACCAGGTGAGAGCCTGAACCAGGTGAGAGCTTGAACCAGGTGAGGGATTGAACCAGGTGAGAGTCTAAACCAGGTGAGGGTCTGAACCAGTTGAGAGCCTGAACCAGGTGAGAGTCTCAACCAGGTGAGAGCCTGAACCAGGTGAGAGTCTGAACCAAGTGAGAGCTTGAACCAGGTGAGGGATTGAACCAGGTGAGAGTCTGAACCAAGTGAGAGCTTGAACCAGGTGAGGGCTTGAACCAGGTGAGGGCCTGAACCAGGTGAGGGCCAGAACCAGGTGAGAGGCTGAACCAGGTGAGGGCCTGAACCAGGTGAGAGTCTGAACCAAGTGAGAGCTTGAACCAGGTGAGGGCTTGAACCAGGTGAGGGCCTGAACCAGGTGAGGGCCAGAACCAGGTGAGAGGCTGAACCAGGTGAGGGCCTGAACCAGGTGAGGGCCTGAACCAGGTGAGAGCCTCAACCAGGTGAGGGCATGAACCAGGTGAGAGTCTGAACCACGTGAGAGCATAAACCAGGTGAGGGCCTGAACCAGGTGAGAGTCTGAACCAGGTGAGGGCCTGAACCACGTGAGAGCCTCAACCAGGTGAGAGCCTGAACCAGGTGAGAGTCTGAACCAGGTGAGAGCCTGAACCAGGTGAGAGTCTGAACCAGGTGAGGGCCTGAACCAGGTGAGGGCCTGAACCAGGTGAGTGCCTGAACCAGGTGAGGGTCTGAACCAGGTGAGGGCCTGAACCAGGTGAGAGTCTGAACCAGGTGAGGGACTGAACCAGGTGAGGGACTGAACCAGGTGAGAGCCTGAACCAGGTGAGGGACTGAACCAGGTGAGAGTCTGAACCAGGTGAGAGTCTGAACCAGGTGAGTCTGACCCAAGTGAGTCTGAACCAGGTGAGAGTCTGAACCAGGTGAGATCCCTGAGCTTCTGTTGAAGGTGGATCCTGACGGTGCTCGAACGCTGCTGCTGCAAGTGCAGCAGTGGAGAGAGAGAGAAGGTTCCAGACGGCTGCTGCTGGGGCAGCTACGGAGCAGCGCCGCTCAGCCAGGACACGGGCCCTGGTTCTGGGTGCAATGAGCAGCGACGAGTGGGATGAACTCTGTAGGACGCACACGGTTGACTATGTAGGCGCGCGAATGAAGTTCAACACACATTCGTGTTCCATAAATGTAAAATAAAAACCTCTCCTCCCATTGTTATCAATGTCCAAATTTGCGTACCAGATCCGCCTCCAGCCTGCACATGTGGCCCACCCATCACGTCCTCCTCCTTCATAATCACTGGGCGAACGCTCGTGTGTTACAAAAGCGGTCCCTAAACTTTTTGGTACCAGGGACCGGTTTCGTGGAAGACAATTTTTTCACGGACCGGGGGGGGGGGGGGGGGGGTGGGGGTTTATCATTGGGTCTTTCCCCCTTTTCAAAGAAGCTCTCCAGCGACGTTGTTTGTTTTTTTACTCGTTTTGGCTACTAGGGGTTAGAGCTTGTGGGCTTTATACCAACACTGTGACTGAGTGCGCAGTGCGGGAAAGAGGCGCGGACGAAGTGGTGAATAATAAAATAATGTGGTCGGGTTCCACGCGCGGACTCACCGCTCTCACCTCCTGCTGCTGCTGCTGTGCGGCCCGGTTCCTAACAGGCCACGGACCGGGGTTAGGGGATTGTCGTGTTGCAATGTCGGCTGGATTGCGCCTCCGTGTGTATCGGCGGGTGGGGGGGGGAGGTTCAATATATCTTGTGTCAGCCAAGTGCTGCCGTGGTCGATCGCGAACAATAAATAAACAGTTCAACACGTGGCACGCTTTCGCGACCAATATTATTCATATAATAAAGGTTGTTGGGTTCGATCGCGTCAGTGTAAATGTGTCGTGATCCCTTACGAATTTGGCTGTGTCGGGTGGTGGAGGGTTACGACACATTTATGCTTACGCGATCTCACCCAAAATGCCTTTATTATTATTATTAATAAATAAACAGATCATGTGTCAGTGTTCGTCACTGCAAGGCCGTGGGCCTTCACGACAGTACAAAATACAAAAAAACACCATCCCATCATCATCATCGTCGTCGTGCTGCTGCCAAACCCCCAATGGTTTAAAACGCGTGGCGGCCCCTCACACTGATGATGCCTCGTCGACGAAAGTGGCCCCTCACCTCTAAAACATTAGTGAAGAGCCACACGGCTCCATTCCCTACCGCCACCTCTACCCCCACCCTCCCTCTACCCCCACCCTCCCTGGCCTACCTCCCCCCCTACCTCCCCCTCTACCCCCACCCTACCCCCTACCCCCGCCCTCCCCCAACACCCCCACCCTCCCTCTACCCCCACCCTCCCTGGCCTACCTCCCCCCCCTACCCCCACCTTCCCTCTACCCCCACCCTCCCTGGCCTACCTCCCCCCCTACCTCCCCCCCTACCTACCCCCCTACCCTCTACCCCCACCCTCCCTGGCCTACCTCCCCCCCTCTACCCCCTACCGCCACCCTCCCTCTCCCCCCACCCTCCCTGGCCTACCTCCCCCCCTACCCCCCACCCTCCCGCTACCCCCACCCTCCCTCTACCCCCACCCTCCCTCTACCCCCACCCTCTCTCTACCCCCACCCTCCCTCTACCCCCACCCTCCCTGGCCTACCTCCCCCCTACCCCCACCCTCCCTCTACCCCCACCCTCCCTCTACCCCCACCCTCCCTGGCCTACCTCCCCCTCTACCCCCACCCTCCCTGGCCTACCTCCCCCAGCGCCCCCCCCCCCGTCTGAGATGATCGCGCTGTCGAGGGCAGCTCGGGACAAGACCGTTGCCCATTAACGCGCACAGGGATCAAGATCCCACCCCCCCCCTAACAGCCTATTGGGGGCAAGCGCCGGCACGGTAACGCGAATGGGTGGTGTGGGCAGCAGCCACGCACGGCCGCCTTTGTCTCCCCTGCGCTGATGTTGACACGCGACGCACCAGGTCCTCATTTGGAGGCCGAGTCAACCTAGGGGAGGCCCCGGACGAGTTGAGATATTCGCCACTGTTGTTCGTCGTGAGCGGGAATCGAACTCGGGTGGCCGGGTTCGTAGCGCAGCGTAGCGCTAACCGCTGCAAAGACAAAGACAAAGCTGTCCCCTATAGCGTTAGCGCACTATTGGGGCAAGTGCCGTCAGCAAAGACAAATGAAGGCCAGAACGGGTGGTGTGGCCAACACCACACCCGGCCGCCTTTGTCTCCCCAGCGCTGATTTTTACACAACACACAAGGTACTAATTTAAGGCTGAGTCGACCGAATGCGTCACCGCACACACACGCACACTCATACTGACGCACACCACACACCATGATACACATATGCACACACGTGTATACTCACGTACACACAGCAACAGGCTCAACACATTCGTAAATAACACTGTGGCCGAAAAAAATTAAATTTATAATATAGGCGACGTTTAGGGCAATGGTCCTTCTTCATGGCGCACGTATGCGCAAAATATACCCCTATGAAGACATAAAGTACTCACATAGAGTACACATGCAGACGTATACTTATACATATATACAGTACAATCGCGTCTAGATAACCTCTATACATACATACATGCAAAGACAAAGATCCCCCGTATAGCCTCAACAGCCTGTTGGGGCAAGTGCAGTTAGCGAGCACCTATGAAGGCCGGCACGGCGCACGGCCGCCTTTTGCCTCCACAGCGCCGACGTTTACACACCGCACCGGGTACTCATTCGAGGCTGAGTCGACCTAGAGGTGGACCGATTCGGATATTCGCCACTGGCGTTTGGTGGCCGCGAGCTCGAATCGACCTCGAGTCATAGACCGGGTTCGTAGCGGCTGCGCGCTCGGCGCTCCCCGCAGACGACACGCGCGCGCGCACAGAGGCAAACATTCACGTAAACCCACGGACGCGCGCGCCGGGACTAACGTATGTGTTGTTTCATTACTGTAATAGTGTTTGATTAAGCAATTATGCACGCCACGCGCTCTCGTTCGCTTCTTAAGGGCCTCGTTGTAAAGCCAC